CCCCCCCAGCACAGCCAAAATTTTATAGATGATTTTACTGAGATGTTGTCAGTTATTTGCGTAGATTTTGATGCCATTGTCATTACAGGTGATTTAAATATCCATATGGATGTTGTTGGTAATAAAGATACCAAAAGAGCTCAACTCTTTATTGGAAACCTTTGGTCTATTTCAGCATGTGCGTGATCCCACTCACAGCAAAGGACATATCTTAGACCTTTTAATCACAAGAGGGGTTAATGTGTCAAATGTGCGCGTTGTTGATATATGTCTGTCCGATCACTTCTGTGTTTTCTTTGACCTGTCTTTTCTGCCTAAGCCACCAGAAGGTCCTGCTATAGTTCGTAGAAGACATATAAATGAAAGCACTGGTCCACAGTTCATAGAAATGTTACATTTTGATATTACGGAGTGTTCCAATGTTGAGGATTTGTTTAACAACTTTAGTCGGAGTGTTTTATCTGTGATCGAAACCATTGCTCCCATGACGACTAAGTTGGTTACCAGCAAACCAAAAGCACCATGGAGGAATGAAATTGCTGTTAGGGAACAAAAAAGACAGTGCCGGAGGGCTGAGCGCAGGTGGCGCAAGTCCAAGCTCCAAGATCACCATGAGATCTATAAGACAAAACTAAAATGCTACAATGACATGTTATGTAGAACGAGGGAAAGGCATTTTTCTGAAATTATAGCTAGTAATGTAAATAACTCTCGTGTCCTGTTCGCAACAGTAAATAGATTAACAAATCCACCTTCTCAGTTGCCACTAGGGTTTAATACAGCTGCTAAGTGCAACGAGTTTGCTTATTTTTTCAATGAAAAGATACAGAGAATAAAAAACACAATCACTCCTGTCCCACAAACAGAAATCTTAAATCCAACTCGAGAGTATGATTTCCCTAATTTCCTTACTGTCAACAACAATACAGTCCAGAATATAGTTTCCAGCATGAGCACGTCAACTTGTAGCCTTGATGTTTTGCCCACTAGGTTTTTTAAGTTAGTGGTAGGCAGTTTTCTCTCAGTCCTCACTGAAATAATCAATTTATCCCTTCAATCAGGAACTTTCCCTGCGGCTCTTAAAGTCGCAGTCATCAAGCCTCTTATAAAGAAAAGCAGTCTTGATGCCACAGTACTGCAAAATTATCGACCAATTTCAAATCTGCCATTTCTGGGAAAGATACTTGAAAAAGTTGTTCATCAACAACTCATGGATTTTTTGTTAGTCAACAACATATTCAATGTGCATCAGTCTGGATTTAGACCGTCCCATAGCACTGAGACTGCACTAATAAAGGTGACTAATGATATTCGACTGAACACTGATGCTGGGAACACTTCAGTGTTAGTTCTATTAGATTTGAGTGCGGCCTTTGATACGGTTGATCATGAAATCCTCTTGGAGAGACTGGAAAAGTGGGTGGGTATTTCTGGTACTGCCCTTGATTGGTGTAGGTCCTACCTGCAGGACAGAATGTATGTTGTAGAAATAGGAGACTGTGCTTCAGATCATATGGCACTGACATGTGGAGTGCCCCAAGGGTCAATCCTGGGGCCTCTCCTATTTAATATCTACATGCTGCCACTAGGCCAGCTAATCCACAGAAGCAATGTGTCCTATCACAATTATGCAGATGACACCCAATTATATGTTTCACTTACTGCAGGGGAATATGGACCAATACATTCCCTCTGCCAGTGCATTCAAACGATCAGTGAGTGGATGAAAAACAATTTCCTTCAACTTAACCCAGATAAAACTGAAGTTATTGTTTTTGGCCCACAAAAACAAAGAGAAAGTATTAACAGTTACATCCAGTCTCTCTCCTTAAAACCAACAAATGAAGTAAGAAATCTTGGGGTAGTAATGGACTCTGACCTTAAATTTGATAGGCACATAAAATCTATAACATCAGCAGCCTTCTATCATCTAAAAAATATTGCCAAAATTAAAAATATGTTGTCTAAATCAGATATGGAAAAACTTATCCATGCATTTGTCACTAGTAGATTAGACTACTGCAATGGCCTGCTCACAGGTCTGTCCAAACAGGCTGTAAAACAGCTGCAGTACATCCAAAATGCAGCAGCTCGAGTCCTGACTAGAACCAGGAAGTACGACCACATTAGTCCAGTCCTCAGGTCTCTGCACTGGCTTCCTGTGGCTCAGAGAATTGATTTTAAAGCAGCTCTGCTTGTGTACAAGTCTCTACATGGTCTTGCACCGAAGTACATTGGTGACATGTTGGTGCAGTATGAGCCAACTCGGACTCTGAGGAGCACAGGGACTGGACTCCTGATGGTGCCCAGAGTCCGGACTAGGCATGGAGAGGCTGCATTTCAGGTGTATGCCCCAAAAATCTGGAACAGCCTTCCTGAGGATGTACGGGAGGCCTCATCTTTAGCATTATTTAAGTCTAAGCTGAAAACCGTTCTTTTTAGCTGTGTATATGACTGACTTTTATATATTGAGCTTTTTATACCGTTTTTAATTCTGAAATTCAGTTTGAAATGTTTATTTTTATGCAACAATTATTATTGTTTTTGTTATTATTTTATATTACGTTTTATGTGTTTTAAAATGTTTGTAAATGTGTATGATCTTGTGTTCTTGTGAAGCACTTTGGGCTGCATTGCATGAATTGTGCTTTATAAATAAACTTGATGATGATGATGATATATTGAGGCTTTTATACCTCTTTTCATCACTGTCTATTTTCAGGCAGTTCCCTTTATTCTTCTAAAGCACAAGAAGGAGACCATTTTTGGAGGCCCTTATTATTGATTTGCAGTATTGATAGTCAAAAGAACCATTTTAAGAATACACAGTGGAGCTGAACCACCAATTAAATCCACCTCATGCAGGAAATTGGAACGCTGCTGTCATTGGCTTTTATATGCAACATTTGGAAGATATTTCTCCCACTGAAAATATGTACTTTTGGGGGTTCATGTGGGTGTGGGGCTAGGACTGCTTGGCTATTTGCTCTATTTGCGTGCATGTATGTGTGTGCGTGTATGTTTGCATGCGTGTGTGTGTATGTGTGTGTGTGTGTGCGTGTATGTGTGTGTGTGTGTGTGTGTATGTGTGTGTGTGTGTGTGTGTGTGTGTGTGTGCGTGTGTGTGTATGTGTGTGTGTGTGTGCGTGTGTGTGTGTGTGTGTGTGTGTGTGTGTGTATGTGTGTGTGTGTGTGCGTGTGTGTGTGTGTGTGTGTGTGTGTGTGTGCGTGTGTGTGTATGCCTTTGACACCGTCGACCATGAGATCCTCTTACAGAGACTAGAGGACTGGGTTGGCGTCACTGGCACCGCCCTAAGTTGGTTTAGGTCTTACCTTGAAGACAGGAAGTACTTTGTGGAGATTGGAAACTGTGTCTCAGATCATATGGCCCTGACCTGTGGAGTCCCACAGGGGTCGATCCTGGGACCTCTTCTGTTCAATCTCTACATGCTGCCGTTAGGTCAGTTAATACGCAGAAACAAAGTTTCCTATCATAACTATGCAGACGACACTCAGATCTATGTCTCACTGACTGCAGGAGAACATGGACCAGTGGACTCACTCCTTCACTGTATCCAACAGATCAGTGAGTGGATGCAAAACAACTTCCTTCAGCTAAACGCAGACAAAACTGAAATGATTGTCTTTGGTCCCCAGAAACAAAGAGAGAGCGTCATCTGTCACCTACAGTCTCTCTCCCTAAAACCTTCAAACAAGGTCAGAAATCTAGGGGTAATACTGGACTCAGACTTAAATTTTAATAGCCACATCAAATCAGTAACATCAGCAGCTTTTAACCATCTAAAAAACATTGCCAGGATCAAAAACATAGTGTCTAAAGCAGACTTGGAGATTCTTATCCATGCATTTGTCTCCAGTAGGTTAGACTACTGCAATGGCCTGCTCACAGGTCTGTCCAAACAGGCTGTAAAACAGCTGCAGTACATTCAAAATGCAGCAGCTCGAGTCCTGACAAGAACCAGGAAGTACGACCACATTAGTCCAGTCCTCAGGTCTCTGCACTGGCTTCCTGTGGCTCAGAGAATAGACTTTAAAACAGCTCTGCTTGTGTACAAGTCTCTCCATAGCCTCGCACCAAAATATATTAGTGACATGTTAGTCCCATATGAACCAGCCCGGACTCTGAGGAGCACAGGGACTGGACTCCTGTTAGTGCCCAGAGTCAGAACTAAACATGGGGAGGCTGCTTTTCAGTTTAATGCTGCTAAAATCTGGAACAGTCTTCCTGAAGATGTGAGACAGGCCTCCTCTCTGACAATGTTTAAAACCAGGTTAAAGACGATTCTGTTTAACTGTGCATACAACTGAGGGATTTTATATTTTTATCTTTCTTTTTAATGTTCTGTGATAATTTATGATTTTAATGCTTTCTTGTTTTGTTCAGCACTTTGAATTGCCTTGTGTATGAATTGTGCTATATAAATAAACTTGCCTTGCCTTGCCTATGTGTGTGTGTGTGTGTATGTGTGTGTGTGTGTGTGTGTGCGTGTGTGTGTGTGTGTGCGTGTGTGTGTATGTGTGTACATATTATCTGTATGCACTAAAGTTCCTTGATTTTTTCTTACTTTTTTCTATTTCTTGACTTTATTTAAAACTTTTTCAGGGGAGTCCTGGCCCCAGAGAGAATGTGGCAGGGTGGGGTCAGTGAGGATGCTAGGCGGAGCTTTAAGACATGCCCTTCTTATTGATTTGCAGAATTGATAGTCAAAAGAACCATGGCATATTACATTGCCTTCAGTTTTGAGTCAATCCAAACAAACATTAACTCATTTTGTTCAGAAAAATAATATTCAAACGACTGTTCAATGAAAGTACTGTAACAATGTAAACAAAATATTTATACATATCAACAGATGCAATAAAGAATCTTCAAACAAACTTCCCACTAAGAAACCGCTTGTATTTTTTTGGCCAGCTCTTATGTTTGTAATTTGGCCGAGTTTGTCCGCCCTGTCGTTGTCGTCGTTGCAGCACCTCACCTTACGCTTAGCCGTCAGCTGCTCCTTGTATCGGTCTGAAGAGTCGCCGGGGATTTCACTGGCCCAAAGAGACAGGCCCACCACCAGATAAGCACAGCCCATCACGAGCAGAGGCAGGAAGTAGATCAGGATGGCCACGCACACATAATACCTGCAACAACACATGAAAGGGCTCAAAATCACCAAATTCACAGCAAGAATTTGTGTTTCAGCTTCCTGTTTCACCTGAGGACCTACTTTGACTTTTATAACTGATTGACTGCCATGGACGTATTTGTCTGAGACTGGAGATTTCTGTCAAACTTCCCTCAATTCGACTACTGGAGAAGAAAAAACAAGCTAGAATGCAACTTATTATTGCTGATGAAAGTAGACCGTCCAGTTTTTCAGAATCTGGTTTCATACTGTGATTCGTAGAGTTATAGTACGCAATACTCGGTGGTTCTCGAACATCAGTGAAAACATCAAAACCGGCTGGCAGTCAATATAATTTTTAGTTGAATTGTCGATGGGACACATTACACAGCTGTATTCTATATTCTCCTTCAGCTGAGATGCCACTGCTGCAGCTCCTCTGACCACCGCCACTGACCACCGCCACCACTTGCTTTGTTTTTTTCTTATCTGAATCTGTGTTGCACGGTTGATTCGGCAGCATTGTGCAGCCCTTTCAGCCAAGCCAGAAGTTTTTGATACAATCCCAATTCAATTTCAATTCAATCTATTCTTGCATAGCCCTAAATCACAACAGTATTTACCTTGGAGGACTTAACAAAATTATTGAATTCACCAACACAGATCAGAGAATCAACAGTTCAATGTCCAGAGATGTTGTTGGATGTTGCTCCTTATCAATTCCCAATGGTAGCGCCGCCTCTGGTCATGTGTGGTCCTGCAGCTCGCCCCGTGGTTAAATGAAAGTCTGTGCCCTTTTGCATAACTTTCACCTCCGCTCATCACTCCCCAAACGTCCCAAAAGTATCGCCGAGCAGATCACCTAAAACATAATGAAACGGCCATTTGCAAAAGTCAATCACTCAGCCCCTCCTCGTGTCCCATATCTCTTCACTCTAGATTCACCGGTCACCGTTAAATTTGGACTGACGCGTTGCATATTTAGCTAATCACGCGCTTCATCAGATTAGCTTAGCGTTAAATGTCCAGTCTCATTTGCATAGTGTCTCTCTGCCTGACGCTTTACAAAGACGACAATGTCCATTAAGCCCCTCGCATGCGCAGATAATAAAAATCATTCGGCGAGCTCAAAGCGGCTCATAGGGATTGCCTGTTAGCCCAGCGTGAACCTATTCTCATTTAATTAAGCACAATTATGCAAATCCAAACGGCGGCAGGACAGTGGCCGCACACAAAGGAAATATTACTGATTTAAAACTATTTAATCACATGAACAGAACGCTGACTTTTATCTTTTGATTTATGTTTTAATTATGCCTTTTCTAGTATTCCCCGTGTAATCTTTAATGGATTCTTTGTACGCCAACGTGCCTTATTTTATTCACAACAAAGAGAATGGGTTTTTATTCCCCCAAGATCCTTAGATCAAAACCAGGTATTAAAGCTGAAATATCCAGTAAATTAGGTGTTTTGTGTTTTCTCCCCAAGAGTAAATTGTAGAAGCTGCACTTGGTGATCAAATTAGACCTCATGGCTCTGCGAAAATAAGAATTGCATATTTTCAGAGGAGTAGCTCTAGGACAGGCAATGTGGGAAATTGCGTGAGACCCCGAGGTCAAAAAGGCCCCTGCACAAACAACAATAAGACTGTGGGGCTGGGGAAGGAACCGCAACAAAGAATCATGCTTGAAATACTTGCTCAGTTGGTAGAGCGTTGGCCTTTGAGCCAGAAGGTCGTCGGTTCGAGCCCACCTCAAGACTTTCTCCACCGACTACCACTGATGTCGTTGTGTCCTCAGGCAAGACACTTCATCCCCATTGCCTAGAATGAGTCCGGTGTGTGCGTATCGGTTGCCTCGCTTCTGTCAGTGTGCCTGTGCTCCTCAGAGTCCCAGCAGGAGTCCAGTCCCTGTGCTCCTCAGAGTCCCAGCAGGAGTCCAGTCCCTGTGCTCCTCAGAGTCCGGGCTGGTTCATATGGTACTAACATGTCACTAATACAGTGCCTTGCGAAAGTATTCGGCCCCCTTGAACCTTTCAACATTTCGCCACATTTCAGGCTTCAAACATAAAGATATAAAAATTACATTTTTTGTCAAGAACAACCAGTGGGACACAATCGTGAAGTGGAACGAGATTTATTGGATAATTTAAACTTTTTTAACAAATAAAAAACTGAAAAGTGGGGCGTGCAATATTATTCGGCCCCTTGCGCTAATACTTTGTAGCGCCACCTTTTGCTGCAATTACAGCTGCAAGTCGCTTGGGGTATGTCTCTATCAGTTTTGCACATCGAGAGACTGGAATTCTTTCCCATTCTTCCTTGCAAAACAGCTCGAGCTCAGTGAGGTTGGATGGAGAGCGTTTGTGAACAGCAGTCTTCAGCTCTTTCCACAGATTCTCGATTGGATTCAGGTCTGGACTTTGACTTGGCCATTCTAACACCTGGATACGTCTATTTGTGAACCATTCCATTGTAGATTTGGCTTTATGTTTTGGATCATTGTCCTGTTGGAAGATAAATCTCCGTCCCAGTCTCAGGTCTTTTGCAGACTCCAACAGGTTTTCTTCCAGAATAGTCCTGTATTTGGATCCATCCATCTTCCCATCAATTTTAGCCATCTTCCCTGTCCCTGCTGAAGAAAAGCAGACCCAAAGCATGATGCTGCCACCACCATGTTTGACAGTGGGGATGGTGTGTTCAGGGTGATGAGCTGTGTTGCTTTTACGCCAAACATATCGTTTTGCATTGTGGCCAAAAAGTTTGATTTTGGTTTCATCTGACCAGAGTACCTTCTTCCACATGTTTGGTGTGTCTCCCAGGTGGCTTGTGACAAACTTTAAACGAGACTTTTTATGGATATCTTTGAGAAATGGCTTTCTTCTTGCCACTCTTCCATAAAGGCCAGATTTGTGCAGTGCACGACTGATTGTTGTCCTATGGACAGATTCTCCCACCTCAGCTGTAGTTATCTGCAGTTCATCCAGAGTGATCATGGGCCTCTTGGCTGCATCTCTGATCAGTCTTCTCCTTGTTTGAGATGAAAGTTTGGAGGGACGGCCGGGTCTTGGTAGATTTGCAGTGGTCTGATACTCCTTCCATTTCAATATAATTGCTTGCACAGTGCTCCTTGAGATGTTTAAAGCTTGGGAAATCTTTTTGTATCCAAATCCGGCTTTAAAACTTCTCCACAACAGTATCTCGGACCGGCCTGGTGTGTTCCTTTGTCTTCATGGTTCTCTCTGCGCTTTAAACAGAACCCTGTGACTATCAAAGAGCAGGTGCATTTATACGGAGACTTGATTACACACAGGTGCATTCTATTTATCATCATCAGTCATTTAGGACAACATTGGATCATTCAAAGATCCTCACTGAGCTTCTGGACTGAGTTTGCTGCACTGAAAGTAAAGGGGCCGAATAATATTGCACGGCCCACTTTTTTTATTTGTTGAAAAAGTTTAAATTATCCAATACATTTCGTTCCACTTCACGATTATGTCCCACTTGTTGTTGATTCATGACAAAAAATTCAAATTGTATATCTTTATGTTTGAAGCCTGAAATGGTGGCGAAATGTTGAAAGGTTCAAGGGGGCCGATTACTTTATATTTTGGTTCGAGGCCATGGAGAGACTTGTAACAAGCAGAGCTGTTTTAAAGTCTATTCTCTGAGCCACAGGAAGCCAGTGCAGAGACCTGAATCACAACTACTTCTTTAATAATTCAGTCATGTGTTTTATAAATTGATTCATTGTGAACTGCATGTATGGGCTCTGACAGACAGTTAATTAGCTTTCTTTAGTCATAGTCGTATTTACACTGCAAATGTGCACCGTGCCCATACAATACATGAATTAAATAAATAAAAAGGGCAACATATCTCAGTACTTTTTAGTTCCAAGTTGAGTATTTTAAGTTGAGTTATACTGACCCTGTAGCTGGAACATTTGTCCTCTGCATTTGACTATTACTGTAATGTCTGTCAGAAGCAGTAGTGACTTTTAAGTTTTTAGAGGTAGGGAGAAACCTAGACCTGGACCGAGACCATCAGTTGAATGGAAAATTCTAATGTTTACAAGTAAAATTCACAAATCCTACTGTTGGCATTATACTTTTACAAGGTTTATCTGTCATTACGATAACAGATGTGCAGCTATCATTATTGCTGTCAGTCTCAGTGCTCTGTTTTTGATCTGCATGCATGATCGAGTCTAGTCTAATCTACATAATTAATCTAAGTATAACGAAGCACGATTAGGACCCGCGGAGACTCTGGGGATCCTGCTCAAGTCCTGGTTCACGGTGCAGCTGTGGAGAATGGATTGGGAGCAAACACACGTCCACTCAGAGCAGAGACGAGCCAGGAGCTTATGGGACTTTGGAAATCCCTCTGGAGAGTTCCGTCATCGCACGAGTGTTTCGCAACTGGGTTAAGAACGAAGATGAAAGGGTTCCATACAGGGCTAAAACGAGCTAATCTATTATTCATAACATTGATTATTGAAATGATAGCCAATTCTTTATTATTTTTTTTAAAGCTGCAAATAAACATGGGCTAGGGGCTAATGCTAATGCTAATGTTAATGCTAATGCTAATGCGCTCATTAGCCATCAGGAAAAAGAGATCCCACAGTGGGGAAAATATCCAACTGTCTTTTTGAATATTGACGGGAATAGGTTTATTTTAAAGAACAGAATGAGAGGAAATTGAATTATTTATGGCTCATGTGTTTATTTTTGTGTATTTACTTATTCACATATGATTAGAACAAATGATTACTTTTGTTGATTGCTTGTTTATGTATTTGACGTGCTTGTCTGTGCTCCACTCACAAAATGAGATTAAACCTCATGTTAAATGACAGGTTCCTTTTCACTCCATCTGAGACATCGCCATAGCAACACATTTAGCATTGAGCAGGTAACTACAATTTGGATTAAGACGTTTCTTTTAAAGGTCTAATATACAGCAGGAAGTTGAATTAAGTTTCTAAACATGCTAAAAATGTATCGTCA